TTTTGGATTTAACTAACAATCTCGGACCACACGGTTTTTGACCTCAGCCTGCCCCAAGGAAATCGGAACCAAGCCCAAGCCCCAAAGATCACAGGACTCTGCATCCTCACCTGGACTGGTCGATTCACTCTCATCCCCAGAAGAGTGTGCGAACCAGGGGTTCAGATTCCCGACCAGTCTCCATTTTAAATAAAGTACTTAAAACTTTATCGTGTTTGCGTGCTCAGAATCCTTCCCACGCTTCTTGTCAATACCTACATTTATTTAATAAAGCTTTGTTTACAAACCATTTTGTGAATTATTTAAAATGTTTGACATATCCATTTCTGTGTAACAAGGTTTTCAAGGACAGGGCTGTAGGTAAACAGTGAATAATCATCATTTGCCATTACAGTATATGTCGGCTACACAAGAATAAAATCAGTAACAGTGCTGTAACCATCACATACTGTTCTTGATGATCTGAAAAACATTTAATATATCACAGTTCATGGCATCTACCTTTTGTCTTAAATACTGCATAGTGATTGTTGTATTTGTAAAATATCATACACCTGATGGTGTCACTGTCTGAAATTGGTTATTACAGCATACTTTATAAAAAGATTTTACCTCTGCTCAGTCATTCTGCAATAATGCCTGAAATACGGTTTGATGGGTTCACGTACATTCCAACATTTCATAGCTCTACTTAGCGCATTGTGGTCTGAGTTGATAACAACATTACTGTTGGAAATCAAAATAATTTCATAAATCCTATGATACCAGTTATTGAATAGGTAAGCTGAAATTAGCATGTCCAGCATGCATGCATGCAAAYATACAGAGTGTTGCTCTGCAGAACCATGCTAAAATTGCTGAAATGTTATTCTTTTAGTGGTTTCAGTTGCAATGATAAACAATACAAGACTTCAAAATCCAAAAAATTAGCTCTTACATGAGCAGTTCTAATATTAACAGGTTCATTAACAGCCACCCAGTTAACTGTGTGTGTTGGAATGTGAAATTCCTCAATGGTCCAGTGAAATTTAGGAAAGTTACAACACATTTAAGACAACTTGATGCTAATATTACTTTTTTGCAGGAGACCCATTTGCGTAAGGCAGACAGTGCAAATCTAAGCAGGCGCTGGTCTGGTCAGGTGTTTCAGTCTAATTTCCAATCTAAATCGAGATGGGTGGCCATCTTAGTTAGTAAACAGGTGCAATTTACGGCATCCAGTGTTAAAACGGACGCTGCTGGACGTTATGTTATCATGGTGGGAAAATTATATGCACTTCCTGTCAGTTTAGTCTCAGTATATGCTCCAAATTGGGATGATCAAMCATTTTTTAATACGTATTTTTCAAATTTACCTAATATTTCAACACATAATCTCATAATTGGGGGAGATGTGAACTGTGTACTGTCATCCCTCGATCGTAGTGCAGTGGGGAGGATCTCTCTTTCTAAATCRGCCCAGTCAATTAATTCATTTCTTAACACTTATGGAGTGGTTGACGTGTGGCGTTTTCGAAATCGACCCTGAGACGGTATTCATTCTTTTTCCCTGTTCATAAGAGCTATTCACGGATTGACTACTTTCTCCTCGATAAAYRKRTTTTACCTTTAGTGAGTGAATGTGATTATGGAGCGATAGTAATTTCTGATCATAG